CGAGCTGCGGCACCGCGCTAAGACTGCGTTCATACTTCGCGGCAGCGATCAGTAGCTGCCTCAGCGTTCCAAGCGCCCCGCCGCGTCAGCTAGTGAGAAAGTATAGGTATCGATTTAGCGTTTGCCAGAGTCTACAAGCGTCTACCAGCGACCAGCATCAGACTGCTGGTGTAGAGTATGGTGCGATAGCTCTCCACGCCGGACGCTGGTGGACGTTGGTTGAGGCTGGCAGACGCTAGGTCGATACCTGTACGTCTTTAGCCCTCGAGACGCTGGTAGGCGATGGTGGACGTTGGCAGACGTTGGATCGATATCTACACTTTCGTAGTCGTTGACGTTGGTGGACGCTATTGGTCGCTGGTGGACGCTGCCGCAGAGTATGAATGCAGCCTAAGCCCCACAGTGCTTGATTCTAAACTGCACTTCAGCTTCAATTGAATTGCATCATGGGAGCTTGTACTGAGGTATGACTGTCAAGTAAACGACATGGGACGCTGACTGCCATGGCAGAATTTATTTTACGCAAAAACACTGTGCTGGGACAACTATCTAGGAATATTAGCTGGTTTGCGCGCGATGCCGCGTCTCGAATGACCTGAGGGACTGCTGTAGATTATGAAGCGACTAACCTCTTCGGGTATTCCCGCAGTGCCAACGCAAGCATTGGCAGCAGCTTCGCCCAGAGTGACTTCTTCGGTCCTTCCGATCAGTTCGTGATCTGCTCCGATCCCACAAAGGCGGATTGTGAATACCGAAACCCCGGGAATAACTGGTAGAGTTACGCTGTATGTGTCGTCGCTTTCATATTCTTCCTGCAAATTTTTGCGATTTATTGGGTAGGTACTGAAAAATATATGAAGCTCGCACCGCATGGTCCACGGTTCTCCAGAAGGTCTCGTTTGGCAGTCTGTACTCGACCAGGAATTTGCTGATGGGCTTCGCCGTCGGTGGTCGATGGAAGTGCACTGAGAATTTCCCACTCTCATCGACAATCTGTAATTGTGAAAGTACTTCTGGCTCGTTAGACACTTGGAAAACGTGCTGCAACTTACCTGAGGTTTCTCTCTCCAGATTTCTCCAGGTTCCCCTGCGGTTTCTGCTTCCAGATGGTACACCTGAAGAGATAATACTATTTGAGCTCACGAGACTTTAGATGATGGATGAACTCACCAGTTTGGGTTCATGATCGACGAAAGCGATGACTCCAATGATGTACTTGGTACTGGGTAGCAGTCCTGCTAGAGTGTGACCAGATACATAAGGGGGAACACGAGCTCTTTCCACACGTCGCGATTCTGGCAGCAATTCAACAGCCGTCACCTGAAAATCCTCGTTCAGCGCTGGCAGCATTTGTTGGACCTCAACTCATTGAAGCGCCATTTATTTACACACACTATGCACCATATTTATACTAGTTTTTCCCACTTTTCATTTATTACACATATACACACTTGAATACACCTTTATTTAATAGTGCACATGACTCCGCCCCCGACGACTCCGCCCACTTATTAATGGATTTATGGAAAATTCCACCACTTTCTTCATTCACCGACATCCGTTTTTAGCGATCTTTCCACAGATATAATACGTATAGTAGGCAATTTCTTTAGTACCCACACTATGCCCGCCCCCTCGGCCACGCCCCTTTTTAGAGATTTTCTGTTTTTTTTTGACGAACTGTCGTTCGAAATGTTGAAAATTTTCCAAAGAAACACTCTTATTATGCACGATACTTTGTTACTCAGAGCGCCAATTACCACACACAAGCCCCGCCCTTCGAAGTTGGTGTTCTTCCTAACTCGTCCTTTCTCTGTGTATCGGATCTGTTTACTGCTTTTTGTTACCACTATTGTATTGTGGATTTTTTTAACCGATAATAAATCATTAATCATTAACTTAGCATACCTCATAGTGCTGAGCCCGTTCGTCAGTGATCGGAGCCCACGAAAAATGTAAGTCGCTGTCGGTTCGGTATACGAGGCGAATGTCGTTCGATACGGGAACACCTGAAGAGGGGAAGGCTTCAGACGTGAGTCCGAGAGCACCAGGGGTGAAGCTGGGGCAGTTCGGCGACGGGGGGGCATTTTGCACTTTTGCTACTTCCCATCGACGTGTCGACCCATCTAGAGAGCCTTTTCTCGAGTTGACAGGTTTTACCATGATGGCTTGACGAGCTTGCTCCAGCTTCACAAGAGTTCACAGGTTTCACCAGAGTGAGACTTGTAAACCAGAACTGTGGAACAACAAAGTGCAAAATGCCCCCTCCGCGCCGCCAAACTGCGCCGGTAAAGCTTACTTTCGCCTTGGGTCCTGGCCTGCATGACATCGGAGTTCCATGGGCCAATCTTGCGTTGACGGTCCACGGCTCGGATTCTAAAAAGAAACAAGTTTGAGACAGATTCGTGCAGGATTTCAAAGTGGGTCCTGTAGGACAAACTTGATGTTATAGTTGGTTGCGGGCAGAAGGTTGGTGACGGAAACATGTGGTTGTGTGACAGTTTGTCGATGCACATCAAATGGAACCTCTTCTCCGATCAATTCCACCTGAAATCACGATTGGAAGAGTTCTGCCAGAAGTGCCAGATGCCTGTGCAGTACCTGATATTCTCCAATAGAACCGCATTCGGGTGCATCCCATTTAATAGCAAGTGAATACTGTCCTTCATGAGTGATTTCCAGATGACGAGGAGCTGTCAGATCATCTGAAACAGTCCAACATTCTTTGTAGTGGGCGATAAATCGTTCACTTTCTGACGAGATCCCGTTTTACAACCGATATTGATGGAAGACGCATTGATTTGATACGGCAGTTATTGCTATACATTCTTATTTGGATCCATCTTTCATTCCGAGAAAGCGTTAGCACGCGCATTGGGACCACAGGTGGAGAAGAGAAGAACGGGTTTTGAGCAGATTGTTCTCTGAGCGTCGCTCCAGAAAACGGCCACCTCGAAACCTCAATATTCTATTCATATGTCTACCTTCAAGAATAACGTTGCAGGTAAAGTCAATGATTCGAACGAACTTTTATTATCTCCGGAAGTCTACCCACCTATGCAAAATTGTTTTAGAGGTAGAATCCGCGACGGCGAGGGGGAAACTCGTTAATATTGAGTTTAGAAATAGAGTGTACGTGCCAACTGACTCGCATGAGAAAAAAAAGCCAAGGTAACATTCGAAAATGCTCGGAATCGAGTTTTATAAGAGATGAGCGAGAGACAAAAAAATCGACGTGGTTCTCAAGCGAGAGTCCAGACATGAGCGGCGAGAGTGCACAAAAGAATGAGACAACTGGTAAGATATCTATCAATATGCGTGAAGTCAGTGACTTTTTGGCGGAATCACTTCTGCAACCTTGTGCTTTACTGCAGCTACCTTTTTTCTGATGCGAAACTTGTACAGGGTTGTTCGTTGCGGTTTTCACTGTCTTCCCCTTCAAAGAGCTTAGTGTCTTTGAATCACACCCACAAGAATGAACGCTTCCGTGAGGGTACTAGTCGCTGTGAGGTTTATTTGGTGGCTAGCGTGATATTGTTTACCCTATTACCTCTCCTAATCGCACAGCATAAAATAATTGCTAAACGGTGCGCAAAGAGCTGTTGGAAAGGGAATCGTGAGCTGCACGATTCATACTGCTCATCGTCCTCCAATGAAGGTGTACTGTGAAAGAAATACGGAGGCGGATAAACCTCCCTTACAGCACCCTCAACGGACATGAACAGTTACAAAGACTGGATAATTTCAAAGTGGGAAACGATGCGCTGCAGTTGAAGAGAGATTATAAGTTATCACAAGAGTGCTGAGTTGTGGGCAAAAGTCGGACCACGGACGGGATTCGAACCCGCATCTTCTGCTTCTTAACTCTTCCGTTAAACAGCAGTTATCAAACAATA